GGTCCTATTGTAATTATGCAAAGTGTGGACTATTAATAAAAAGAACAGGAGTAGTTCTAGCAGTTTGCTAGACACAATCAACAAAGGATTGAATAAGGACTGGGGGCTGAGCCATTACAAACATTGAATCTATCTCCCCTTGTAAGTATTCTCACACTTCTTATCAAACTGTCTGTACTGGGCTATCTTGATTATCACTTCAAAAGTTTTCCCCCCCCCCACTTACTTAATTGGCCTCTCAGAGTTGGTAAGACAACTCACACCTGTTCATGCTCTCTGTATGTGTGTGTGTATATCTCTCTCTCTATCTCCTCAATATATGTTCCATTCTATATGCATCCGATGAAGTGGGCTGTAGCCCACGAAAGTTTATGCTCTAATAAATTTGTTAGTCTCTAAGGTGCCACAAGTACTCCTCGTTCTTTTTGCAGATACCGACTAACATGGCTGCTACTCTGAAACCTGAGCTACTGAACTGAAATTCCACGCTGAACAGGAAAAACCAGTCTGGCCTCACAAACATGCCAAGTTTGGCAAACCTGGTTCCAGCCTTTATTTGTTTTTGTTTTTTTGTGGTGGGGGGAGAGGAGGAAACAAACTGTAGATTTAATGGGAAGAAATCATAAAACAGTGGCTGAAAGAAGAACACCTAAAACATCAGCCATAAGCCATCAGTTAAACTTCATGCAATCAAAGTCTGACTGATTTCCTAAGATTTCAAGCTAACACTTTTCTTCTAGTTGTGTGCACTTTAAAAGGAGATTTTAGAAAGATTTCTCACTGTTGCTAGTACTGATTCAGTTCTACCAACATTAACACTGTTGGCATTCCTACTGTGGGCCAGCTGATACTGACATTTTAAGAATCCATCTCTCTAACAGCATACACTAGATGACACTAGAAAGAAGCAGCAAACAGCCAGTCAACACTGAAGCTCTCAGTGTCAGACAGTGGGGAAGGTCTGCAAACTTTCTGTAATATGCACTATTGGCAAACAGGTAGGTAGTACTGAGCAAATGTCCTACTATGGTGTTAAGCGACAGAAAATGCCATTTTTCAGATGACACAAAACCAAAGGATGTGACCACTTGTTAAACAGCACATAGCTTTTTTTGTTTGTTTTTGCAAGAATAAAGATAAGCCCTGGTGTCATGGCCAAGTTCCAGTTTGGGTAATTACTTTTTGCCCACCTACTTCCCCTCACTTAAATTGAATCCAATAGTCTTCACTTCCCAATCTAAAAGTGTTGTGCAATTTTGCTGTATGGGGTTATGGCTACTCTATTCACAAGAGGATTTAATGACATGATCATGTCTACAGTATGTGCTTTGTCTATACTTCTGTAAAGCACTTTAATGCTTCTGAAAAGTGCTATAGAAAACAATAATCCTGGCAAGTGCTTGGAGCAAAGGTGAAGTCCCATGATTTCCACAGCTTTCTTCATGACACATGTACTCAGGTTGTTAGAGTTGCATTCTTGATGCTCATCTTACCCAAAGAATAGTTTTGACTCAATTTCTTTCCGATCTAGAAGTGGCAGCCCAAAACTCCCAGCTCACTATAGAAACTGCTCAGATCAAATCTATTGGTGGGTGTCTTGTGCCAATGGAAAATAATGACAGAAAATTTCTAATAGTTGAACAAGTTTTATTAGAATAAGGAAAAAAACAATATTACATATAAAGCCTCTTTTTCTCTTATTAATTCACTGAAAAGATTCATTCCAACTATCCCATGTTACCTTTGTTCCTCCTATTGATTTAGAGACAAAGACATACAGTGAATACTTTAAAAAAAACAAAAACAAAAAAACAACTTGTAATAAGGGAAAATGGTGGTATTTTTCTCTCAAACATCACTTCACCCAAACTCATAATTCTCAGGTCCACATTATTTACACCTATAATCCTTGCATTTTCACTCCCCCACACTTAGTTATGGTGTGTTATGAAACTCACATAAAACTGCACACCAGTATTATACCAAAAACAGTTTAAAAACTAATTTTTTTATACCTCAGAAAAGTGATGAATGGCAAGACATTGTATGGACCCAATGATAGATATTGCCCTGCTTCAATAAAGTTATGCAAATGAACACTACACAGCATATTGTATTTTAGATCGCTATTTTATTCTTTATATTAATCTGTTTTAAAGATACGCATGATGGGTCAAATCTGGGAGTTCTTATTCAAGCAAAACTCATTTTGAATAAGTAATGACCTCAGGATTTGGTTTGAGAATATTAAGAATTTATGGAGTGCTGGCAGTGTGCTCTGTATAGAACATAGGGAAAAAAACAGCAATGAGTGAAATCCTGGCCCTATTGAAGTCAATGTCAAAATTCCCATCAATTTCAATGGGGACAGGATTTCATCCATGTACCTACCCCAGGAGGTTTACAGTGTGAATGTAGTTTTAAGTGCTTTAGGACTACAATCCAATACCTATAGAAGTTGTGTGATTTTTTTTTAAAGTGTTTTAGGTGCACTTGGTTAACATTTGACCTATCTTAAAACATACCATGCTAGTAGAACAATGACAGTTGTACACATCTGTTAGAGACAATACTATACGATAAAGATGTAATTTATTAAACACCATTTACCTGCTGCTAGGAATTTATTGCTTGAAAGGGAGTATGAACAGGTTAAATTTTAAAACTACTAGCATTTGCATTTTCTGGGGGTAATCTGCATCTTCCCAGATTACATATCCAGCATTTCAAAGGCAACACTTCTGAATAGATCTCCAAGGGAAAACACTGCTAAAAGATGCTATATGTGAAACTTTGTTTCCTTGAAATCCTTGCCAGTCAAAGATGATGTTTCTGTGGGACTATGTCTGCTGCACAGCGATACTATTTTATGGATCTCAATATCATTCTTGAAATTAAATTTGACAATAAATCAGGTCTTGTAGTTTAGGCAAAATACTTGCTGAAAGAGAGCTGATACAGAGATACTAGCAGTTTCAGTAGCCGGAGTAATTCTCAAACATTCCCAGAGTGGGTGGTTTTCATCAGTTCCAAGGTTATTAGCCCTCCAGAGCCTCTTCTGGGCTACACTCCCTACTAAAGCTCTAGGTGGAGTGTACCTAGATCTGTGGTTTTCAACCTGTGGTCCACAGACTATGTCTAAGATTTCCAAAGGTGAAAAAAGGTTGAAAACCGCTGGTCGAGACACATGGTGATCTATTCTAAGTATCAGAATGTCTGCCTTCAGTGGCGTTTTATGGAAGAGGTGGAATATCCAAAAGTTTCACTGCAATAAGAAATTTCTGCATTGCAAGATTTACACTTCACTCTAATTTAATTACTATAATAGATTAAGAGTAATATTCCAACACTGCTTTTCTGTTCCATTGAGGCTTTTTTATAAAAAAATTACAGGATTGGCTTTATTTTACGTAATGACAAGTGAGAGCCTTCAGCTTGCACACATGACAATCTGCTGTTAATTTTTCCCTGGGTTAATAGTCATGTGGTTCCAGATATCTTCTGAGTGGTTGGATTCACAACTAGATCAGATTCAAATCAGGTATTCATCATGTCAGTTAGAAATAAAAATTCATATAGTTAGGGCACAATATCTCCTTTTCAAATGATGCCTAAAATACTGAAAAATAAACCAGCATATACTGTAAACTAAAAAAGGTAGAACTAATCAAAAGCGTGGCATATTAGCCATACATAATGACATTACAACAAACCGACAAATTATATATTCAACTTTGATTAGAATTTTGTACAAAAAATTAATCTGTTATTACAGAATACACTTCGTGGTCTCCAGTCACGTATTCAGATGTTCATATAAACCACTTGGGCACAACTGAAGAGGTGGCAAAGGCACTCAAAACACTGAATAGCAGCAAAAGGCTAGGGCTGGACTGTTTCCCAGCAGAGCTCTACAAAGAACAGAAAGACATGTTATTCATTCTCAGAAACAGCCAGGCAATGAGGAACAATTTGATAAATCTGAAGCAAAGAATAATTTTATTCATTGTGATTCTCAAAGTATGGTAAATTCCAGAGAACTGTACTACTTATCTGTTCTCATTAATAAATGTTTACTGTGTGGTTTGGGTAGAAGTAATGGCTAGCTAGTATGTTACATAAAGTTATTTATGTGGTGGGGTAAACAAAAAATACTGTATGGGAGGAATGTGTGAGACAGTTAGCCTTTTTGGCTTGTCTGCAGAACTCAGAATCTGTGCATCAAATTCAGACTTGGTTTAAGGAGGTGCCTGCCAGAGATTCCTGTAGAGTTGTGCTCATTTATGCTGGGTTTCAATGGGGTGCCCTATTCAGTTACCTGGTACTGAAAAGGAAATACTGGTGGTCCTTTAAAGGCAGAGGATTCTGAATAATGAAATATTCCAATTATTAGACCTAATCTAAATAATAACCACGCATTCAGTTTCTAAGTAGCAGGCTGAATCGAAGCAATACAGTGGAAATTCAGTATTTTGTATACTTCTATTCAAATTTGATGAGATTATTATACTTCACTATAATGTCCAATATTCTCAGATATTTGTATGGACTAAAGGAATTCTGATAGAGCCCTCATATCAGAAACAGACCTAATCAAAGTTATATTCATATTTTCAATGTAAGCTGCATATTGGAAGAAAACAGTAAAAGCTATAAGGGAAGAGTGCTTACTATTTGGCCACCATCTGAGGAATGTGAGCCCTGTTAAAAAAAAAAAAGGAAACAGTTATTTTTCCCCACATGTAAAATGGTTTTTAATTTCTGGTATGAGGGTTTGACTCTCTACTCTGAGAAAGTGGATTGAAACTGCTGTAATCTCAAAGACAAAGTTGCATGGACATAAAATGTGACAAAATGGAGCAGTGAATCAGGCTCACCTACTTTATCTAAAAATCCTTGCTAAATGGAATGAAAGAACATTTATTTTGTTTCCTTTCATTCAGCTACCTTACATTACACACAGGCCTGGTGTCCATAATTCAAGAAGGATGTTGAAAAACTTTGAGAGGGTTCAGAGAAGAGGCATGAGACTGGTTAAAAGATTAGAAAATATGCCTTACAGTGAAAGACTCGAGGAGCTCAATATCTATTTAGTTTATCAATGACTTGATCACAATCTGTAAGTACCTACACGAAGAACAGAAATTTCGTAACTGAGGGATCTTCAGTCTAGCAGACAAAAAGTATAATGTATTAAAAAAAAAAAAAAACCTTCTGTGATTATAGGTCTGTGAGGAAAAGCAACCTAAAATTTATTTGTGCTGGCCCTCTGCACTGGTTTGAATTCCACCATTACATGAGCCAACTACTGTGAGCTATGTGGTCTTAATACAGCACAAAAGTCTGCTACAGTAAGATTAAAAACCCAACTATTTTTAAAATAGCAGCCACTATTTATTTTTTTGCAAGGAGACCAAGCTATTTCATTCTGGTTAATGAAAAAGGAAGTTGTTGAATGACTCTAAATTTTCTGTCAGATGTGATTCCTTATATGGGATTACTATTGTGTCATTATGGTTTGAAATTGAAGGAAGTCTTCAATGAAATATCCCATGTCACAACTAAATAGGTGCCATTCAAACAACAACCATGCCTCAGAGTATTGTCTCATGAGTTTGCTGCAGCCTCTGTACTTAAGGCACTTAGACTGATACCAGGAATATAAAGTTCTAACCACAACTCTATTAGTTACATGAAAAGATGGTGCCTACAGACTGAGCATGTAGACCTGGAGTGTGCCTGCATCATAAATGAGACCCTCTGGTGATTATGCATGACTAGTTTGAGAGAGAGCGAAAACTACATTATGCTACACATGTGTTGATTTATTGAGTGGCAGAATAGATTAAAACTGTAATGGCTCCCCATTGTGATGTGCAGCATTTGTGCTACTACTCCATTGCAAAGTAGGAACATCCAGTATTCTAATGTATTTTTTATCCAGAGTAAAGTAATTCTTGAACATATTTCTCACATCAGAACTGACAGACCTAATCCAAACGATATCTATGTTTTCACTTTACTGGAAGAAAGTGGTAAATACTATGGGGAAAACAGGACTTACGTCTCCACCAGACTGCTTTCCTCCTGAAGGTAATCCCTGTAAAAAGGTACAAACCAGTTATTTTAGTGTAAAAGTGTCTTTAACTATAGTTCAGTTTGAGGAACAAATATTTACTTTATTTGTACTTTCCTGCTTAATGGAATGAAAACAAAAAACAGGAGAGTGAAAATACTATTGTGTTTCCCTTCATTCCACAACCCTATCTTAGAACAACACACTAAAGTAGAGTGAGAAACCTAAAGTAGTCTTACCTGGCCACTGGAAGTGTTGTTCAATGAGATAAATGCTCCACCCTTTAAAGAAACCAGAAATGAGTCAATTTCTTGTGAAGAGACTTGATTAAGTGCCATACTTCATTCAGGGTAAAAAAAAGAGAGAGAGAGAGAGAGAGAGAGAGAGAACGACCCCAGTCTGTGCTTAACTGCTTAGTGAAGTGTAGAGTAAGCAGAAAATGCAGAGTCTCTTTCGTATTACTTCACTCCAGTAATTTACACTATGCTGTCTTTACATGAAGGTTCTTTGAAAATTTAAATTCAGTGGATGTTGATCCATTTACACCACAACAGGAGGAAAAATGAATGTTTGTTTTTCTGTTGAAAGTAGCCAAAATGAAAGACAGCTCATGTCCTGCGATGGAGTAAATATAATGATTAGACAGGCTTTTATCAGCTGTGGAAGTATGAAGGATGGAGATTCTAAGGAAGATGAGATAATTCATGTAGGAGTTTAGATCTGATCAGAAGGTGACATTCCAAATCAGTTCATCATCAAATAACTTCAATCCCTATGTAACCATGTTCACTGTACACCACAAGTGGAGGTAATTTCTGAAACTTGAACATTCATTTACTAGGAAGCATTTTGGGAGGAGATTTTAAATTCAGTAGAGAATGTGTTATTACCTGGACATTGGCACTACTGCTGTTTGTGCTAGAGGATTCATTCTGTAAAAGAAAACAAAAATGAGTAATTTCCCTGTGAGAACAATTATATCACCATAATTTTACTGGACGTTTTCCCCAAAAATGTAGTACTATACGGGCTTAGAGGCCAGATTTGCACTCTTGTTTGCCAATAGTGCATATTGGGTTCTCCATGCATATACACACATAACATTCTATCTAGAATGCACTTGTAGCAGGAAGTGCTCTGTCTCCACTGGATGGATCTGCCTCTGAGCTCTTCAGGTCACTAACAATATTTATTCTGTTCTGAGGGTTCATCACATAAAAGAGACTCTGAATACTACTCTCTTGGCATATATCACCTTGGGTCTTTTATCCTGAAAAACTACTACTTGCTAGGAGACATCTTATGGAAACAGGTGAATATGGTCCAGTGACCTTGTACCCGTCTTTAGCCACTAATTTAGGTGACAGCTAGGGGGTGGAATATTCACAACTCTGAACATCATAAATTTTGCCAGCATATGTGGTAGTGTAGACATAGCCCTAGCGTATGTCAATCCTTAAAACTGCTAGCATTACAACAGCTTTACTCAGACAAAATTCTGGAAAAAAATGACAGGAGTTGCTTTACCTGTCCATTGTAACTGCTTCTGCTTAGAGCACGAGATGTATCCTGTGAAAAGACAATGAAATGAGCTAGTAACCCAAGAAAATGTTGACATGTACACTCAGGCACAATGCCTCATTTTGGGCTATATTTTTATTTGTTCTGATATCCAGAGACCTTTGGGCCTATAAATTAAATGGTATAATACATAAGTATAATATAAATGCTTATTTGTACATAATTCCCAGGTCCACACCCCCCATGTTTGTTGATCACAACAACTGTACAGCATTCCTGAGCACTGCTTGGATGAAATAATTCTATTCCAGTTTAATGTCCACTAATTTCAGTATGTCCCAATTCTGCAAGATGAATGGAAACTGAGGGTGTCCCGAACCCCACAGCAAGACCTTACAAGATCAGGTCTTCTCCTAAAACTAACTCTCTTTACAGTAAAATTACTCTTCAATTATATAAACCAAGTGTTCATTTTCTTAGCGGCATACTAGAGCAAATACTCTAAATATGATGAAGAAAGTGTGCTTACCCGGGCAACGATAACCTTGTTGCCTGCACAATTGGATGAACTCTGTGAAAGAAAACAGAAGACAGTTATTGTCTTGTAGAAGTAACAAGATGGTCCATTCACCTACACAAAGGTAAAATTCCCTGGGACAGATTCTGCCTAGATTTACCCTGGCTTCCACTAGGTGAAAGCCCAGGAGCAGAGCCCTAATGGGGTAAATGCAGCCAGAGGAGAACTATTTTTTTTTTAAATGGCATATATGTAGATTTAAATTAATGCTAACTCTGGGTGACACAAGAGCTCGAGGTGCCCATGTGCTGTGTGCATATGGAGGGTGAGTTCTCAGGGGAAGTATTCAGTCAGAGTACATGGGTTTGAGTACTATATGATTACTAAAAATTGAAGTATTATATATTTTGAACAACTGTGCAGCAACATTAAAAGCTGGTTGAAGGGGGTCAATACAGGTCAAATAGCTTCAGTCTTTATATAAATGATCAAATGAACAGTAAAAAACCCATACACCACACTATTGGCCCAGATCTTTGATGCTGAAGCATTCAGTTAGTAGGAAGCACCTCAGCACAAGAACTTCAATACTATGGAGAAAGAAAGAGCTTACTTGACCACTAACTTCATACATAGAGAAGTGACACAGGGTGGCCTGCCCCATAGCACCCACTCCTGACCTCGTATGGTGCTGCAGACAATCTGTGCCTCAGTTTCCCTTTCCCCAGGTCATGGTAAGAACTCCACAAGTTCAAAGAGTGTAAGGCAAAATTCCCTTGCTGGGATTTTATTTTACTAAATTAAAATAAACTTGAAATAAAGTCTAACTCCTTGGCTGTAGGGCTACGCAGCCCTACTGCTTAGAGCCTACAGTCTCAGAGAGTTCCTGTTCCATAGGGTAGTCTCTCTCTGTGAGCATCTCCCTACAGCTTGGCCCGGATAGCCTTTTATCCAACTTAGCTTCTTCTTATTCAATTATATGCCTAGGTAGGCTCCTTCCCATTGAAATTAACTCTTTGAGAGGATTCTGGGGCCAGGCTTCCCATGAAGGGGCCAGCACCTTATGACAAGGAGTCAACCTGGAAAGACACAAATTATTTATGTGTTAAAGAACTTATTTAAATAGAATACAGTTACAGAAATTTGCCTCCTCTTGTGCAATGAAAGCATAGGAGATTGCGTACCGTGGGCCTGGTTCTTTACTGCCTTGTATCTTGGCTAGTCGTTTATATTGCTGTAAAATAGATTCCAAATGAATCTGAAATCTTACCATTCTGATCTGTTAGCATTGTACATTCTTTGAACAATGTGCAAAACAGGGAGGACCAGGCACAATTTTGTCTCCTGTTATTCACTCATCTTAGGCTAATGAAAGGCTTCCTAGAGTTGCAGGGAGGTATCATTGAAAATGACAGTAAAATGGACACTGGTGCATTTTGAGCCAAAATTCTTTACTGGCATAAAGTGGTGTAGCTTCACTGAAAGCTTTTTAATGAGGGTTTCATTTGACCATGATTAAATAAATGTTAAAGATCGCATAATACAAGTGTTGTCACATATATAATAGTTTAGAAATTCCAATATTAATTCAAATATTTTCATGAGTTTTTATTTGGGATTTAGAGACATTCCCTTTGGTGTTTTCAATGAAAACACTGCAGCACTGTGCTAGTGCCGGAGGAAAAAAGTGGTAGTGTCTAGAAACAGAAGTGACCCTGGCTAGTAGTTTTCACAGCTGAATGAAAGGTGAAAATTAGGAGAGCATATATAGAATGACAAGTAAATTAGTGCTCATGTACTAAGAGGCAAGTTGGGACAAAAACTTAGACACACTGGAGAAAAAAGTACTCACCTGATCACAATCACGGTTACTGCTGCCTGAATTACTTTGTGAACCCTGTAAAGACACCTGAAATCAGTTATTTCCTCATAAAATGGATTGCTTAAATACAATGGACTAGATCTTGGGGCCTGCAGCTTGAAAATTAAGGTCACACAAATAGAAAGCTTTGGTAGTATAAAGAGTCCCTAAAATCTAAGGTTTGTGATAAGGAGTAAAAGGAGACCTTAACAAGCAAAATGAAGAGTTATTTATGTGTCTACTGCCATAGTTCTGTGAGGACAATGATCCAGTCTTCAAAGTAAACCAAAAATAAATTATTTCTTAGTAAAAGGGATTGGTTCACTATGATTTTATTAAGGAAAAGAACCCTATTGATATTTATTTAGGGGAAGGATGGATTAGGGAAATGGTGAATACTGCAGGACTTGATGATTATGTGACTTAAATGTAAACTGAAAATAGTAAAAAGGTAAATACTGGGGAGCAATAAACATCACTTTTTAAATGCTCCACACTGCACTCAGATGCCCAATTTTGAACAATCACCACAGAAAGTATCATTTTTCAGTAAAAATTCAGTTTAAGTGGATGGCATTAAAAATGGAGCACTCCATGTCCTTCTATTGCATTAATATAGTGAATGGCCATAAGTTTGTCACATGAGAACTTGGAAGCTTCAAGGAGGCTAATTTTAATGAATGGTCTGAAGTGAAGGTTCCAAGATGGTCAACATTCATCCATGAGGAGGAACTCTGATCTACAATAGTAATGTCAGTTTTGGCATTTCAAGGAGATAATGGCTCATACCTGGGTCAGACAGCAAGATGACTTTTCTAACTACAGGGAAATACAAAATGTATAACAAAAAATGGGTGAAATCCTGGCCCTATTGAGGTCAATGGAAGTTTTGCCACTGATTTCATTGAGCCCAGGATTTTATGTTCTTATGTTATAGTTTCGTTACTGACAGAGACACTGATTTTATAGCTCATTACAACGATTTGTAACCTAACTCTCCTTTGTTCTAAGACTGCAGAGGTGTTAACTGCCCACTTCATCTTATGCTTAACAGTCTGTTCCACCTTGTATTTCGCTGTGACATTGTTTACCTTCTCTAAAGAAGAGCTCTGTGAAGCTCAAGTTTCTTCCACCAACAGAAATTGGTCTAGTAAAAGATATTACATCATCCACCTTGTCTCTCTAGTAGCAAATAATATAATTCAACTTCTAATTTTCTATGTAACTTCATCCTTCAACACAAATTCCCACTCAACAGCTAATGGATAAAATGCAAATTACAGTGAAGTCTTCCAGTACCAAGAGGCACGTTGGAATAAATTTCCATGCGGTAAGTGGAGCTTAAAAGGGTGCAGCAGAGGTCAGTCGGGGTGGTGAGTGCAAGGGAGTAGACCTGCACAAGTAGTTCCTGCCGGGGGACAGCAGAAGTCCCATGCTGCCTGGAACAAACCTCAATAGGGAGCTGCAGGCCAGCTCCAGAGAGAAAGCAGAACGCCTGCCCATGGAAGAAGGAGTTGAGTTCCTGGACCCCTCTCAGTTGAGGGCATGTTCTGAATTGACACCTGGGCCCACATTGGGCCTCCAAAAAGAGACTGAATGTTGTAGGAAGTGATCCAGGGAACAGGGATGGTGATACTTTTGCCTGAACTGACAGTTCCAGGGCCCCAGGTAAGAATCTGGTGGAGCGAGAGAGCCTGGGTTCCCCTAATGCTGACCACAGACATGAGCCACAAGGGGAATTGTGAGCTAGTGCTCCCCCCGCTAGGGGACACAACCCACTCCCAATATGGGGCCCTGGAATTCTCTGTCTTTGCTAATGTTCTATTCTCTGGTCACTTGGTCTTTCAGTTCTCTGGTGCTGAGGAGCTGCTTCTTCACCAGCACCCAGCAGAGTGAGGGTCCCTCTCTTCTTGTGCTTAACACAAATTTCAAAATATAAAAATACTGCTGAGTATGGCTTTAGTGTAGTCACAATGACAGGGAGCCAGGGGCCAGAGCCACAGCTAAGTTTGGGTTTGGGTCCAGCAGAAGGGGCCAAACTCACTGCCTCAAAGGGGTAAT